CCGTGCACGCGAAACAAACAAAATGACCGATCAACCCAACTTGTCACAAGGACCCCTGCCCCGCCTCCAACAGCGGCAACTATACCTATTGGTATGGCGCCCTCGAAAGGGGGGGGGGGGGGGGGGGGCAGCTCGCTGTAAAGAAGTTTCCTGGTTTTTGGGTTATTATTGTGCAGGGGTACAATACGTACCGAAGTACGTACAGTTGGCTCTGTATACGCGAATGTAAATAAATTCGTCGTAATTCAATTTAAATCATAATTTAACCAAGATCAGAAATGCCCGTGTGTGTCTATTCGCACGAAGGACCCTGTTACATGCGTCCTGGTGGAACCGAAATAGACCCTCGGCGCCGAGCATTAGTGCCCGAAGCGGATTACGACATCATCTTTGTCTCCTAATTCGCGCAATACCTCACGGCATCATTCCCTATTATATGCATGTGTATACGGTAATGCGTGCTGCGTATATGGCCCGGCCGTAGAGCCTGAAGCTGTTAGCTACGATACGCAAAGCCTCCACACAAGCGCTTCGTATCTCTCGACAGACTTGGTCGGTTTAGAGCCACGCATCTCTGTCACCCATCGCCAAATTTCCTTTTCAAGTGCAGCAACGTGATGCGCTGATAGCTCGTCACAATGCATTCCGATTCACATCGGCACTGCTGCCTTCCAACGCTCAGGTGTTGCATCACCCACTCTGTTTTTGGACTCTGTCAACCCCTCCTCCCACCCCCCGTGTCAATTTTTGCTTGCACACGCCCATACAAGTATATCATGCGTACTCTTCCCGAAGCATTACGGAAGACATCCCTCTCGCACCCTCCCACCCACACACAACCCCCTTGCCGGTTTTGCAACCGATCAAGGTACCGCTAACCACGTTGCGGTTATATTATATCTTCTCTTCTCCTACTAGCGGTCGGAGTCCGACCTCCGCACCGGGCATCATGACCTCTTCAGCCACCTTTCTCATTTCGTTCTTCTCCTTTTTGATACTCCTCACATCCGTTCTGGCGCAGCAACCACGCCATGACACACACGGGCGAGCCCAGCACAGTCCATACCGCCGCCGATCCACTCGCCCTGAGTATACGGTACGCAAATCCGACGCCGAAAAGCGTGCCGAAGAAGAAAAGAAACGACTGGAGAAGCAAGCCAAAGAGGCCGAAAAAGCCCGCGAAAAGGCCGACAAAGAGGCCGAAAAGGCCCGCGAAGAGGCCGAGAAACACTGCCCCGAATTACTTGTGGAACAACGCATAGCCAATGCCAGTCTGGACAAAGCCGAGCGCGACCTTGCAAACCTTACCGACACATGTGGTGACCTTGACCGACGACAAACTGAACTCAATCAGCAGGAGAAGAATTTGGACGATCGACAGGTTTCTCTCGATTTACTTGCCAGGGACCTTGCAGAAGAGGAAGAGCGCCTCGTTCGGAGAGAGAGAGCTTTAGGGCAGGAGGAAGAAGAGCTCAGGGAAAGAGAGGCAAATATCCCGACGTGCAAACCGCCAAGAGTAACCCCTGCACCCGCCGCGAGGGTAGCCGGCGTATGCGAGGCATGCGGGTCATGTGAGGCGGATTTGGAATGCAGGGCGGGGATATGTCAAAGGGCGGCAGCTGGCGAGCCGTCTTGCGCCGCTGCTGAGACATGCGGTGCTGGGGAAAGGAGGGTGTGTAAAAAGCTACAGTCCACGGACTTGACAGGGGAGGGCATGCTTACGAAACCGCTTATGGACGCAGGTAAGTTTTTCGGCAAGACCAAGGAGATTCCCGGGTGCGTTGACGGAATGGTGAGGTTTAATTGTGATCTTGAGAGTGAATTATGCGTAGGATTTCGGTTTTGTCTCCAGAAGACGTTTGAGGAGTGCGCAACTGAAGGATTGACAGAGCCTTCTAGGAACATACCGGTTATCCCGGAGCTGACGAGGCAGGTAACAAGGCAGGAGATGAGTGTGAAGCAGGGGTTCGGAGAAGGTGTACCGAGTTGCTGCGTGCTGTTTGTTGCTTCCGATTGTTTCGAACAGGAAGTGTGCGAATGCATGGAAGCGGGCGGAGCAGCCAGGTGAGAAGGTTTTGTGTAAATTCGAGCAACGAGATGAAATCATGTACAGTCCTGTGCCGTCCAGGAACAACGTCTAATCACGAAGGCGTTAGAGGATCCTCTTTGTGTTCCACAACAAAGAACGTTCCCCATGGTAACAAGCCGGCTCAACAGGAGTTGTGAACAGCTCAACACTGTGAGCCGCGTGTGTTTATTCGGCGCGATAGTGTTTGAAAATTCGCTGCCGGGGGGTCGCGTGTTCGCTAAACAAAGGTCCCTTTTTTTATCGTGGCCAATTGCATACTTACACGTTAAGCAGACTTTCATCCGCTAGAGAGAAACTACTGTAGTCGTGACATGTGCGCCGTGAATACAGCCGCGAGCACAGCGCCTCTTCACGGCGCCGATGCGCGTGCAGCACATGTACAGTATGTAGTCTCCGGTCGGTCATCAGCTGCTGTTCCTCCATCTCACCTGACAACAACAAGGGGAGAAGCGCTTGGCAGCGTACATGGGGTTCATTACTTTCTGAGGATGTTTGAAAAGACAAATCTATCGTATTCAAAACACGCCGCCCCACTTGGGCTTCTCGGGTGGAGCAGGAACTAGCTGGTTTCAAAGAACTTAGTACACCCGAATACTGCAAATAGTGCGGTCTGCACTATTTTGGAACGCCAATTCGAAGCCGAGGTGACGGTATTTACTGCGGTCCGCACTAATATTGATACCGCACTAATTAAGTCATTTCCCCTATTAGTGCGGTCCGCAGTAAATAATTCTGTTCTTAATAGTGCGGTCTACCCTAATTCTGTCTGTAATGCCGAATGCAATCTGGACCAATCAGAAGAGTTGAGATTTTTATTGTGTAAGGGTACTGGATATCTCTACGCGCCTTCGCCAACCACCTGGCCCTCATTCGCAATCACAGGAGCTCCCTCAAAATGGTTTCGATGAATTATATTCTGTAGCTTGGGAAACAATTGTCTTTCCTCCCACTGCCCATTTGTGTTGAGCGCTAAGCCACATCTGATCATGGCTTTCCGTGCGTAGGTTAGACCCTCGCTGTCGCGTTGTGCGTTAACATCCCGAACAGCAGCTGTGGCAAGCTCCAGCATTAGCATTAGGCAACTTGCCAGAAGAAGCCGTAAAGTCACCCTCCATTATGCGCTCCATTTTGAGCTGGTCCTAACGAAAACGCCAAGCATCTTTTAGCTTTTGTATCACAAAGGCATCGGCGGGCTGCAGTAGGTCCGTACAGTTAGGCGGGAAAAACTTGACCTCTGTGTTGATTTCATTCAACGCTTCCAACATTGCCGCAGTCTCGCCATGCCCACTGCAGTTGTCCATATACAACACACGACGCCGGCCGTGCCGAAGCGCCTCAATTGTTATCCGTTCCTTCAGCCACTGCGGCATTACTTCGCGATCCATCCAACCCTTCGGCCCCGAGCGATACGAAATTCCCGCTACATCTTCAGGAACCCTTTGAATTGGGTAGCTTCTCTTCCTGTTCTGAAAAACCATCATTGGCGCTTCGATTCTGGCATACCTTCCACCAGATATACGTACAATCATTGTAATCCATTCCGCTCCAAACACTACGTCTGAATACTTTACGTCGGCTTCACCGCAAATTCCCAACGTTCGATGGTTGTCCATGTTGATGACAAAAGTGCGTTTCGTCAGCATTTGACGCATGGTCCTCATTTAAACGTCCTGAACGAAACTCTCAAGCCACAAAGCCAAGATGATACGCCACTTCCTGCTCGATAAAAGCTTGATTCTCCGGGGAAACCATCAATTTGCCTGTTTGAGCGCGACTAACAATTTCGTTCCGCTCCATAAATGCCTGGATCCGACGCGATGTGATCATATACTGAATAAACGTTTTTGACGACGTATTAAAACAATTTAGAAAATATTTGTGGTATAACTACTTTCGTCCGGACCACTCGGAACGAGGGGGGTTAGAGGTAAGGGAGCGCGCACCGCTGGGTAACCCACGCGAGCGCAAACCGCACGGAAGGACTCGAAAAGAGGGAAGGCTCACGTGGCCGGTGACGCGCAGCCGGTCGGTGGTGTTAGATCCGGACGGCCGGTCACGGGTTAGAAGCCTGAGACTTAGAGGTAAAACCGGACGGAGTTAGCAAAAAGCCGTAAAGGGAAGGGAGGCGAGTCTGCCTCCTCTTTACTGGGACGGGGCAGGTGCCCCCGGTCTTAACCCCTAAGTGGGACGCCAGGACACCTGTCCCGCTACAGTAGCTGTTACTTACTGTATACCAGCTACTGTACACAATTAATAAATTCGTGCCATTAACTACTAATTACTACTTATAACCGTACGGATTACACACGTGTGCCCGTGGCCACGCCAGCGGTTGTAGCACGTGTGACCCGCGGGGTACTACTGTACTCCGCTACGGGCGCGTGCAAGCCCGGTCGCTACAGTAGTACCCGCTCTTCCGTCCGGTTCACATCTCCCCGGGATGGTCGTGGTACGCAATTGTACTACAGACCCCCTTCCTTATTTCGCGACACGTCCTCGTCGCGGCCGAGTTGTGCCATGACAGGCTTGCAGAGAGTTCTCACCGTACGGAAAAACCCGCGCCGACCGCGGGCGCGCGGTCGCGTGGCGGCCACCTCCACTGGGGAGCCTGTGGAGTTTTTGGTATTTAACCGCGGTGATTCTTCCCATGCGGTGGCGGATCCCCCCACGCTTTCAACATTTCCCACAACTGACCCAACGCTTCTCCCCACGACTACCACCAGCCATACTCTCCCTCACACCTCATCTCCCGATTTACTCCCTTCCCCACGGATGGAGAACCACCGAACGGACCGGGGGCAGCCCTCCTCTGAGGGCTCCCCCTTAGCGACGCCCGCGCCAACTGTCGCTTTTCATTCAGTGCGGCAGCGGAGTGCCGGTGATCTGCCCGCTGCCGCTTCCACGCCTGCGGAGCGCGGGCCGCTACCAGTCCCGCTGAGATCCATCCCGGTTCCCCGCGTTGGCGGTGCAACCGCGGTGACGCAGTTGCCCGACCGGGTCGGAGCCGGGGGACCCTCGGTAGTCAATGAAGATCCACATCCGACACGCCCCGACCCCTATGCAGGGACGTACCCGGCGGCGGCCATTCCGCCCTCCGGATGGCTTCGTAACGGTGTTCGTGCGGTCCGAGGCCTGCTCCCCGGGGCCGACATGGACCATCGCACGGCTCGAAGTGGGCGGAACCCCTCACGGGGTCAACCGCCAATCTCCGTCGAAGCCTACGTCAATGCGGATTATCCGGACGCGGCAAGATTCGAGGCGATACCGAGGCGGCGGGGCATTCGTACGCCCTCCCCTCGCGGTCGTATCCGACAAGAGAACCGCTCGGCAGCTTGGAGGACGCGCTGTCTCCACGCCCTCCACCGGTCGGTGACTGTATCCGGCTCGGACCTCCTCTATGTCCGCTGTGCGGGTGAGGATGAGTACCATTCGCGGCTGCTGAACCTCCTCGGGAGATTCGGCGGGGAGGTGGACCCCGCACCTCGTGTGCAGCTAGTGGCCTTCCCCCGGCCCCTCGACCGATGGTATAGCATCGCCGACCGTGTTCGGTGGGGGGAGAACTCCGCCAAGGAGAGTCGCCTGCGGTGGCGCCGTGGAGACGACTACTTCCACATGTGGCACCGGACGGAGTTTTTCTCGGTGCCCCCGGCGTCCCGGGGGCGACTGTACCCCGCTTTACCGATGGACTGGCACACTCTCGAGGCCCCGCAGTACCTCTGCGTTCCCACCCCCAGCGCGCTGGCGTACGTTGCCGCGCGCTGGATGGCTCCCGGTTCGCTCGGGAGAGGCTCGACACCTCAGACGCGACGGTTGATCGACGCGATCTTATTGTCCGAGTGGGCGGTGTTGGCGCTACTGTGCTTTCTGCACGCCGCGCGGGACGGCCTCCCGTTCTTCACCAAGTGCCCGGATCCCCGCTTGGCGAGCCGGAGCTCAAACGAGCCCGGAGAACGGGGCTCACTCTTCCGACTGTCCTCGAGGCTCTTGCAGCTCATCCGGTCGGTCGGGGTGGCGGCCATCCTCGAGGGCACTACCTTCGACCTGGTTGGGGCCGAGGCTCTGCTCGATTTCTCCGAACGGTTGGACTGGTCCCTCTCCGAACGCGGCGACTTCGTCTGGTACAGTTGGGCCCGCGGATGTTCCCTGCGGATGCCGCACTGGGAGGGTGTGTCCACAGAAGCCGACCAGTGGTATGAAACGTTACCGGACACCGGTACACCGTCGTACGGGGCGGTCGTCGCCTCGGGCGACGGGTGGGGCGCGGCGGTTTCCTCCGCCGGACGCCCCGTCGAGGCGTCAACCGACTCCCTGCCGGTGACAGCAATCCCGGTGTTGCCACCGCAGAGCGAGGTCGTCGCGATTGACCCCGAAGCCGGGACCACAGAGAATCCTCCGGTCGGTCCCTCAACACCGCCCGCCGTAGACGTACCCACGCCCGCGGTATCCCCGCGCAGGGTTGAAGGGGAACCCGCTGCGGAGCCGACACAAATGGTGCCGCTTCACGTGGCGCCTGTGGTAGAGCCGGCGGCGGTAAACCCGACCGGGGTAGCCCCCATATCGGTACCGGGCTCCGGCGCTCCCCTCGTCCGCGACAGGAGCGGGACGGGGACTCAGATTCCCTCGGTGGCTTCTGGTGGGGCCCCTGCGGACGCGCAAACCGAGGAGGTACCCGCCATTGCCCCGGACGCGCAGGCTGCCCTACGCGCGCTGCAGATGGAGTGCGGATACGCGGGAGTGCCCGTGCCGCCCACTCTCGCAGCAGGTTTGATGTCCGCGCGCGCTTGGCTGGTCGAGGTGACCCAGCTCAAGGCGCGGGTGGCGGGCCTCCAGTTTGCCATCCGCCAGCACGACACCGGCGATGACCTTATGCAGGGTGAGACAATGACGCGTATCCGCGCCGCTCAGGACCACCTTGCAGTATTGAGTGCGCAGGTGGCCAACAAGAGGCCGTATGGTGCGGTCGAGACCGACCCTGCGAC